GCTCGCGGCAGGCCCGCCCGCACTGGGCCTCGTCCAACTCCCGGTGGACGTCGCGGAGGTGGGGGAGCACGTCGTGCAGGTAGAGCTCGGTGCGGCAGACCGGGCAGGGGACGTAGGCCAGGCCCTCATGTGTCTGGGACCGCGGAGGGGCAAACTGGATGGACCGCGGGGGAGGGGTCTCCCCGCCGCTGAGCCCGCGCTTGGCGGCGGTGAGGGCCCATGTCGGCTGGTCGTCCGGCCACGCGCGTCGGGGATCCCAGCCGGTTAGCAGGGAGAGGTGGGGGCCGCCGGTGGGTCGGATGCGAAGTCGATAGGGACCCACCGCTGGAAGACGCAACCTCATGTGAAAATGGGCCTACCGCTGGAGGTGTGTGGTCAAGATATGCAAATTAATACTAAATAGAGCGCTTAGTTACAGGATATGCCCTATTGGTAGCCCGAATTTCCATACAGGGACTGCGTAAGGCCACCATCCCACAGCGAGACAAGATCAAACAACCAAGAAAAAAGAGACAAAGAATAGGAAACTGTTGACGGATAGATGCGATGCCATCGCATGTAGATTATAGTTTATGGAAGAGGTTCGATGCAAGAATCGTACAAAACCAGTTATCAATTCCAATATCTACAACAAAACTCTTTTTCTCTTTCCTTTTGAAAGAGTTGGCACTTATCCATTCAAGCTCTTGCACGAGCTCTATGGGACTAAGCTACAGATAGTTTTGATATGCAAACATAGGGCCTCAGCAGCGCCCCTTATTCTCATTTTATCCTGTAATGTCTATTCATTTGGATTAAATAGGAACTCCATCTGGTGCTTATATCGTGGGAAGAACTGCCCAGTCATACGTGATCCCGTGCGGTGGGTATTCACATAAGACGTATGCCAACGCCGCGTTGGGACGCGGATGTCCCGGCCCAGGGCGCATGGGACGCACCACGCCCTGTTATCCTTCGTGTAGAATTGGTTGTGCATGATTCGATACTTACAGTTCCAACACTTAAAGCAGTGAAAGTGAAAGAAATACCCCTCCGGGGTCGGCACCCGGGCGTTTCCGGCGGGGACCCAAACAAAGCTATTAAAGTCCTCTGTGTTGATCGCCTTATCGCAGTTCATACAGCAAACCCCCTTCGGCACCAACATCGGCCGATCAACGTCTTCGGTGAAGCCGGGGAAATGCGGGCGCGAGCGGGTCTCCTCGTGAGGGGTGGCCGTGAGGTGTCGGGCCTTCGACTGCAGCCACCAACGACGGCTGTGTTGGGTGCGGACTTTATGGCCGGAGGTGGGCTTGCCGTGCATGGCCCGCACCCCGCCCGATCGCTCGGGAAGCCCCGCGATGCCCCGCACGACGTGCCGAGACCAGCGCCGGAGCATAAATTCACCCCTACTACCTAACAAAAAATGAAGAACCCCCCCCCAAAAAGGTCAGGGGCAAAGGCGAGGTTCTCCCTCCCCTCTAAAAATAAGCTCCCTTTGGCCCCTTTTGAGGAGGGCAATCGATAGTTAAGATGCTACGTGTGAAGTGACGGCCTTTCTCTCCTAAAGGTGATGCTTATTTTTAATTACTTCACTTCTGTTTATGGTTGGAAACTAATAGAAAGTAAAGGAACAATAGGGGATATTGTTATCTTTCCAAGCATACATCTTCAGAAGGCAATTTAGTGATAGCATTCGCACACAAAACGTGAATTGTGGGGGAAGGACCCATACATCGCCTTCATTCAGCGGATTCTCGTTTTTGAATCCTCATTACTAAGGGGGTAGGGCAAAGCAATGAAAATTAAATGATATTCTTAATGGTTTAAAAAATAGAAAAGTAAGAAACCATGAAAAAAGGAAGTAAAATAATAAACTCGATATATCAATTTATATTTAATGGAATCATGGTTTCACTAAAAATGTGCTTTGACCACAAGTGAAGAAACGTTCACGAGGACGACGTGATCGTACTCGTAGCTGTGGGGGACATAATTGGACTTGTGCAGAGCGTTCATAATATCGAACACGTTTACCATAGCGTGATAATCGTTTTCAGTGTAGGTGATAGATGGAGTTGTCAGACAGAACCTTCTTTTGGATTCCCTTGGCGTCCGAAGATTTTTTGTCCATAGTCAAAAAAAAGGATATCAATTGTGATAAGGATAGAAGTATTTAGCGAGCTATTGGACAACAGACCTCGTAAACGAACAAAAGCACAAGTAAATGGAATAAGAAAGGTAAATATCAAAATTCTATGCTAGAAGAAGCGTCATAAATCATTTTTAATATTGTTCTTTTCGAATTCAGACAATATATTTATTTATATGTATAGGCGCTTTTCTTCAACTCATTATATTAAGTAAATTCTGATAAATATAATAATAAAAACGTTCCTGAGTTAGAAATACAGAAAGGAATTCCAACGCGCAGGGTCTATGTCACTCGAGCTTTTTTTTAGGCTGGAAAAAGTACGCTCGTTCATTAACACCTGAACCTGTCTCTGCAAGTTTTAATATAATGGAAAGTAAGAAGACAAGATAGATCCATGTATATGTGGAATAAACACCAATGTGTCAGAGGGAAAGTACAAGCAATTCATTCCCCTTGATAAAATTCCTTTGAATGCCCAGACTCACCTCATCTCTATATATTGACCAAAGGATCGCTTGAAAAACAATTGCATTTAAACACAGACGTTAACAAAAGATAGCAAACATTGAACTATCTATCTAATAAAGCTAAGAGCGATATGCGATTATGTGAAGACTGTTCCAGAGCTTGTAGGTCTTACAAATACTCTGAAGTTAGGTACTTCCGATCTTCCAATGAGATGTGCGCTAGGTTATCCTGCTCAAATTCATCCTCACCCATCCATTGGAAGTCGGGGGCACTTTGGTACGGGTTTCCATCCTCGCTGCGATCCCAGTAAAAATGAGTAAGCCGGTCGGCATCGACATCCTGAAAGTCAAAGTGTTTCGAGGCGAATTCCCCCTCAAGATTTTTTTCCATCGGGATTTTTGATCCATTTTGCGTTGTCGTTCCAGTTTGAGGTGGGTTCATGACGCTGCGGCGCGCGGTGCGGAGGCTACCGCCCTTTTCCCCCACCATCGCCAAGAGGGGCCTGAGGCCGTGCAGGGGAAGATGGGAGCGGGTGTAGTACCGGGCAGCCACCGCACCCACCTTCAGCGACGTCGTCGAACAGCACCAGCGATGCATTTCAAAAATAGGGGTTCTATTTATTATTATTATTATTATTATTATTATTGTGGCTGTTGTTGTTCTTATTGAAAGGGCTGTGATAGCACTCCAAGCTTCTGAGTTGTCACTTTTTTTTTTTGATCGATGGAACAAAGGATAACCCAAAACCAAGGGAGGGAAAATTGAGATAATGTATAGAGTCTAGAGAGAAGAACCATAGGTACATTTCTTCTTAGCCTTTTTTTATTTTAAATGAAACTTTTGGGATGCAGTACACGAAGTAGACTAGGGTCCAGAATCGTACGGCATTAAGATCCACATCTTTAATGGTGGTCTCCTCTTCCTTGATTACCCTTTTCTCCTTTTTAACTCTCACAAACGATAGTTTATCTTTCTGAATAACTTGTTATTCAATTTGATAGAGTTTCTGTGCACTGTTTATTTGAGAATTGACAGGGTGAACGAGACCCTCCAGAAGAGGATCCTCTCCACAGCAGTATTTTACCGAAACAACGTTGATCATATCGACCTATTCCTCCGTAAAAGTGACAGCTTGTACGTTCTCTTGCCTTACGAAAGGATCTTAGTGCACTATTACCAAATCTGCTTCCAAAGTGTTCCGCGGTCAGGGCCAGCGCATGTGGTTTTCTCCACCACGGTTTGCTTTACAATTTTTCTATATCCCATGAAGTGGAAAATTTTTCATTCCAAACCTTGTGAAAGTATCAGATAGGATTAAATATTGAGGGAAAGCCGGACATACCATTTATAATAGAGTGGATTAAGTGGAAAATCATGGACCACACCCAGTACGGAGTTGACAATTAACTAAAAATTATCCTTTGATTGCTATCCATCATGAGAATATATTAAGAGATAAAGAAGAGTAACTAAGAGTGGAAACCAACCCTAATCCGATGGTGACTACCCCATATATTTTTCTTCTCATTTCATTGTTGCTGTGGTGCAAAAAAAACTAACAACGCGTTGATCCAATGAATCGATCCCAAATTTTGAAATACCACTAGGCGACACCACTGATAGAAACAGACGTCGTGAATTGCGCAATAACAAAAATTAAGCCTATTTGCAGCTTCTACTTCTATTTTCTTGTCAGAATACTAATAAAGTCTATAATGTAAACATGCGCATGCACAGTGAAAGTATGTACGAACACAAACAGCAAAAGCATATGTTGAGCATCGTAAAAATCTTAATGACTCACATTTCAAGGAGTTAGAGGTCATCAAAGATGTCGTTGGCGTCGTCCAAGTCCTTTTTATCCCCCTTTGTGGGTTCATGATGCGTGGACGAATTCCGCAGTGGTGTGGATATTTCCCCAAACAGCTGCTCAAACTCCTGATCAATGTTAGCCAGACCCGTTTCCGGCGGCGAACTTAGCACCCCGGGGTTGTCGTTTTGCGGTGTGGGGCGGGGCTCGCTGGGGGTGGTTGGGTCGTGCGGGGCCCCCGCCGCCGCCTCGATGACCCGCCCCTTCAGGGGCGGGTTCGGGATGGCCACGATGAGGTCGAGGTCGTCGCCGTTCCCGTCATCGCCGAGGGTGAAGACGGGGGAGGGCGGGGCCTGGGGCGGCCCGCCCCCGCCGCGGCGGGGAC